TTTATCCCTGTACTTGAGTGCCAGCAGTTCATTCTGCTGTTTCCCCCCTTTTCATTTTTTTGTTCGCTAGAGCCTTTGGGAAACCTGTGCGACTCTTCCGAATAGTGCCACAGGCCACGGTCTCGAAGCAGTATAAAATTTTTAACAGTGGGATGCTATTATAAAAGTTATCGATGTATTTATTAAGTAGTGGCATTATTAAGTCCCAGACAATTTTCCCACTTGTCCCTACTATATCTGGGCAACCTGGGGGATCAAGGTGGCTATCCCTTCCTTCGTATACACGACAGGTGTATACGTAGCCACTGCCACTTTCACACAGTTTATAAAATTTGATCCCATATCAGGATCTTTTGGATGGGATATATTGTCTAAACCCCAGTCTTCCCTTAAACTTCATGAGGGACTCGTCAATGGAAATGTTTTTATTGTGGGTATATATAGTGGCAAATTTACTGTTAAAGTGGGCAATTAAAGGGCTTATTTTATAAAGAAGATCATACTGTGGATCCCCTTTTAGGGGGCACTTGTTATTGTCACTAAAGTGCATAAATCGCAGTATGTCTTCATATCTTTCCCTCGTCATTGTCTCGGCAAAAATGGGGGTATTGCAAATAGGATGTTTACACCAATACATCCTAATTGTGGGCTTTTTAATTAGCCCCATTAACATGGTCAGTGCCCATAATTGTTTCAATTCTGGCACACTGGTTGGGTTTCATCTCTCTTTCCTGGAGATTAGAGAGTCTGGATTGCGTGCCAGATACTGCTCCGCATAGAGATTAGTCTGGGTGACTATCTCCCCAAAAATCTCATACCCCAAGAACAGCTGCATAACATCCAGCGCACTATAGCCAGACAGGTCAGCCTGTATGCCAGGATTGGCTGTAAACACTGGGATGTCTGGGGAAAAATTATTAGGGGGTACCCAGTCATCTGCGCCATGTTCAGCATTAGGGGAATCGTCGATTTCCCCTGATGGTCCTGCAGTATCTGGCACATAGTCCCTGTCCCCTGTGTCCCCTGCGTCAATCCCTGCGTCACTCTCTGAGGCAGTGTCAGTCGCCACTGAGTCGGCCGTTAACAGGGCATAAGCCTCCTCTGCGCTATACTTTCTAAAACATTGTTAATACAGTTAACACAGCTAAATAACTTTTTTTTGTCCCTAATTCCCACTAAATTCCACCCACCCAAGTAACTAAATCACAAATTAATAAAATCAAATAATAACATTTAACCCCTTAGGGTTACAAAAAACATAAAACTTTACCCTTGAAAGTAAAAAAAAAATAGATCACAGTAAAGTACTGTGACCTGTATATTGATCACTGCTAGCAGTGATCAAGCAGCAGGGAAAGGGTTAATTTTCTTTTTAATAAAGGGGAAAGGGATTAGGAACTTTTAATAGAACTTTACTATTCTTCTGGGACACAGTGTTGCAACGATCAGTCTCTCTCCACTTCACAAACCCACACATGGTGGAGGGAGGCGGATCAGATATCCCAGCAGCATTGTGACCGCTGTGACTGGCTGTCACAGCGATCACATGGGCTGGGATATCGGGATTTGCTGTTGCTGGTCTGCCCCTCACTCGGAGGCACCCAGTAACAGCGTTAACCCCGCGATCGCCAACACCGCGGCGATCGGGGGTTAATTTTAACGCGTGACAAGTCCGTCACTCATCATTAACGCTTTCCCCTGAGTGACGGACCTTGTCCGTCACTCGTCGTTAAGGGGTTAATATTATGTCACCCTTCACACTCTGAAGCACCTATCCCCTATGACACTACACCCTACACACACTCTGTAGCCCAGGCCTGTCCCCAGATGTTGCCGAACTACAACTCCCATGATTGTTTCAATGAAACAGATAGCCAGGGAATCATGGGAGTTGTAGTTCAGCAACATCTGGGGCGTCGCAGGTTGGACAGCCCTGCTGTAGCCTGTAGATACACACTAAAGTACATGTACACACACTACAGTACAGTCCCTATACAGACACATATTGCCCCTATATACACACTACACCCCATAGACTAACAAACACACTACAACCTTTAGACACACACACACACACACTCTCTTAAAAGTCCCTAGACACACACAAACTTTACAGCACATGGTCACATACACATGCACACTGCACTCGCTAGCCACAAACAGGACAGTTCACATACACAGCTGCCTCTATACACACAATTCAACAAGCAGCACAATCATGTTAAATTGCTTGTGTTGAGTCAACCAAATACAGGGCATTTCCCCAGAGGCACATGAAACTAACATGCTTACTTTGAAAAATCTGCATTTTACTGTACAATTCCAAAACTAGTTAAAGGTATGCCCCAAACACCATGACCACATCTGCTTTTAGAAATAGTATTGGTGGCAGGAGTTTGCTTCTGCTTGAAACTCTGCATGTCCAGAGATATTTGGACTTGTGTGCCGGGGGCTAGTTACACTGCCAGCACACATGACTCTGAGCAGCCTAATGTTAATTTTGTGCAAATAATACATTTGTCGTCAACATACGACAAATAATACATTTGTCGTCAACATGGTGACAGACAAGGTCAGATTCTGCCGTTGCAGATCTAGCGCCAGCAAGGGGAAGTTTCCTCTGCCCGCCCTAATTTCCTCGCCCTAATTTCCTCGCACTGTCAATGGCTACTACCATTTTAAACCTTTTTACTCCCCACTCCATCCCTGTTCACTTATCAGCTTCCAACATGCAAGGGATCCTATGTTGGATGGGGCGTGGAGAGGAATGTTGGGAGTTTTGACAGGCGTGGAATTTTAGGTAAGTTTAACATTCAAATCCTGCATTTAATGGGGAAGAGAAGCTAATGAGCAATGCCGGATAGGAATTTTAAAAGCACAAACTAGTAGTTGACCCGTTTTTAAAAAACAATAACATCCAGTAGCCATTCTGATGAAGTTTCATACAGGTTAAGTTAATATTCTAAAATATTTTTCCTTGCACAATGGTGGATTTTGACTAATACCAAATATGTTGCATTATATTACATTATTTCCAAGATCTCAACCAGACAGGATGGCGCGGTTGTAGGCTGGTTTAAATCTATTTCCATTGGTTTAATTGACAGAGAATGTCTTTGGGAATGTAATTGTCTGCACCAAATTCAGTTATTTACAAAATGACACATTTTGTTTATCTCAAATGATCTTTACAGTATACTTTTTGCTTTTGGGGATTTACAGCAGACATTTCCTAACTGTAATCACAATTAGCTTAGGGTAAAACCTTTAAAGGCACCACTAGAGTTACCCAGGTTTAACCCTGCAATGTAAAACATTACAGGTATTTTTTTTTAAAATGGTGCATTGTTAATACATATCACTCAAAATGTGAGCAAAACAATAAGAAAAATAAAGTGCCATAACTAAATAATTAAAGTGACAGTGCTTTTAAAGTATACATTAACTATGCTTTGTGATAAGTCTGCTCTATATCATATAAAGATTGTTTAAGTGATGTTGCTATCCAAAACCTCAAATTTATACTTTCCTGCAGTCACCTCCAAAGGGACATCTAAAGCGCTGTTAATGTATACCTAAAAGCACTGTCACTTTAATTATTTAGTTATGGCACTTTAAAAAATTATTTTGCTCACATTTTGACTTATCTATATTAACAATGCACTGACAAAGGATTATTTTAATACACTTTAATTTAAATGATCTTAGCATCATCACTATTTAAGTACAGTACTTGTGTTTCCCATGTAAAAATTAGTGTAGATATTGGATACTGTGAGGTAGTGGTGGACTTACCACAACATGGCTATATGGTGTAACTAAATTACTGTATTTGTTTGCTGAGATAGGTGATTTTAAGTAGCCTTGTAAAATTTAAAACTGTATTTTTGTGTGTGTGCTGTATTTTGTATACATTTTGGTGTTTACAGAAGCACCACTACTGAGAAATGCATATTCTAAGTGTGCCTTCAATTCCCCCTTTTTTCAAAGTAAGAAAGCCAGGTCTCAAGAGAAGTGAGGGCATATGGTGGTTTTAAACATCCCTTATGTATGTAATATGTGGGTCATATTTTTTAAATGTATTAGTGGGCAAATAGTACATAAAAAAAAAGCAAGTGAATGGTAATTTGCAAATTTAAATCCTGCTCCCAAATCCTTTACTTTGTATAGCTTTTGAATGCAAAAACACAAATTTTAATCCAGGGGGCCCAAGCAAATGCTTGCCAAGGATCCAATCAATATTAAAGAGGGCCCTGCCTCAGCCCTCCAAGTCATGATGATGTATGGTGCATTGGTCAGCCATACATTGTTTTAATATAACTACTGCTTACTAATAATCTGTGCTTTAAAGCTTCACTTGGCAAGCTATCTGTAGTATACTGAACTGTATACAGAGTGTGATATATACTGTACAATATAAATTAGCAAGTATAAAGTATGATTGTACTAGTTGAGTTAGGTAACAGTTCTTGTCTAATATGTACAATTATCTTTTTTTGTTGTTTTTTTTTTTTTTTTTTCCTCTCCATAATGTATGCCCTCCTCATATATAGTCACTAATAACTTGTGTTTTGTCTTTTCTAGCCTATCCTCTGCCTATATACCTGTGTGTTCAGGCCCTGGGGAGATAGCGCAGCTAAGCTGACAAGGGCAAATGCATGAGTGTGGTGATAGATGCGTGTGATTGGTTGAGTATGATTGTGTGGGTGGGATTATGTGGTGTGTGAGTTTAGTCAGGGGTGGTCTCAGTGCCACTTGGGATTTGGGCCAGCAAACAGCTTCCTGTCCTCCTGCTCCTGTTTGTCCTGGGCCTGTCGGTTTACCAGCTTGAGGGATGGAGGTTGAGGCTATTCTGACTTCCCTCAGGGCTGCTGCTGCGCTCGATGGTGGGCGGCAACTCTATGAGCAATATGCTCACCTCACCCCAGGTATGGCTGCCGGTGTGGGCCCCCCCCCACCCCCCGCAGCCTACCTCCTTCTGGGGCCTCCTGAGGAGTAGGATGGGGCAGCAGGCAGACATGGGAGAGCCAATAGTGTATGAGGGGAACATGGGGTAGCACAGTGTGTGCAAGGGATACATGGGGCAGCAGGCAGTATAAGGAGGACATGAGGCAACAGGGAGACATGGGACAGCAGTTGGTCATGGGGCAGCAGAGTGTGTGTGATTGGGGACATGGGACAGCAGGGGCTGTAAGGGGGATATGGGGGGCAAAGAGACATGGGACAGCAGAGTGTATGTGAGGGGAACTTGAAGCAGCACGGATTATGTGAGGGGGACATAAGGGGCAAAAGTATAAATAATATAAAAAAAATAAAAAAAAACAGACAAATGTTCACTCAAGGTTTTTTTCATTCCATTATAATTTAGTATTTCCTCATCCAGTCTGTCCACTTGAGCTTAATAAGACTTTGTGACGTTGCTAGAAATTGTGGCTGGGAGATTTGTATAGATTGATTAAATGTGTTGCTCAGCACGGTCTTCTTATGAATCCATTTTACTCTGCTTTTTTCCACCCAATATGTTTATTCAAGGATCCAACATGTCATGTTTTGGGCTACGCTTCAAATATTTTCTTGTTTACAAGGGAAGGGATATGTTTATGCTACTTAGTAAAATGTCTGTGTCTAGGAATCTCTGGGAAATATCAGTGCAAGATCAAGGGTACAGGGAGTGATTAGATGGCACATGTGAAAACAAGAATAATCAGATGGCACATGTAAACAATCTTTAATTGCTCTCTCACATATTATTAAATGGTAAAAGCTGAATTAGACAGCACCCTCTAATAATGAAATTAGTATCAATATCAGTGTTGGCCTGAGTATATGAGAGGGGCTTACTCTCTAATAGGAACTAGCATCAATATCAGCATCGGGCTGAGTTCACAAGAGGGGGTTCACCTCTAAGCAAGCAGTTAGAACCAATATCAGCGTAGGGCTGAGTAGGTGAGAGGGGCTCACCCTCTTAATGAAATCAGAATCGATATCAGCAATAACCTGTAATGTAAGAAACCTAAAAATGGCTGCCGTGATCCAAGATGGCTGCCAGTAGCCTGAGGAAGCGCAGGAGATGTTCTCCACGATCCTCGAGAGCCCGGGAAGTCGGAGGAGGACAGAGCGAGGTGAGGCTTCTCGACATCCTGAGCAGCAGGAAGAAACAAAAAACAAAACACAAAACAATGTTATAGACAGAAACTTAAAGGGACACTATAGTCACCAGAACAACTACAGCTTATTGAATTTGTTCAGGTGAGGAGAATCGTTACCTTCAGGCTTTTTGCTGTAAACACTGTCTTTTCAGAGAAAATGCAGTGTTTACATTACAGCCCAGTGATAACTTCACTGGCCACTCCTTAGATGGCTGTTAGAGATCCTTCCTGGGTCATGGCTGCCTAAAATGCATCCAAACATTCAGTGTCTCTTCCCTCTGCATGCAGACACTGAACATTCCTCATAGAGATTCATTAATTAAATTCATCTATATGAGGAGATGCTGATTGGCCAGGGCTGTGTTTGAATCATGCTGGCTCTGCCCCTGATCTGACTCTTTTTCAGTCTCAGCCAATCCTATGGGGAAGCACTGTGATTGGATCAGGCTACCACTTCTAATGATGTCAGCAGACTGCTTGTTTTTCTGAGGCAAACAGCATGCAGAGTTACAGCTTCAGGCTTGAATACAGTAAGATTTTGCTATATTTATGGAGGCATGAGGGGCCCAGGGGGGCTAGATGGTGGTTTTAACACTATGGGGTCAGGAATACATGTTTGTGTACCTGACTCTATAGTGATCCTCTTAATCTGGCCCAGGACAGAGGTGAGGCTTCTCGACATCCTGAGCAGCAGGAAGAAACAAAAAACAAAACACAAAACAATGTTTTAGACAGAAACTTAAAGGGACACTATAGTCACCAGAACAACTACAGCTTATTGAATTTGTTCAGGTGAGGAGAATCATTACCTTCAGGCTTTTTGCTGTAAACACTGTCTTTTCAGAGTAAATGCAGTGTTTACATTACAGCCTAGTGATAACTTCACTGGCCACTCCTTAGATGGCTGTTAGAGATCCTTCCTGGGTCATGGCTGTCTAAAATGCATCCAAACATTCAGTGTCTCCTCCCTCTGCATGCAGACATTGAACTTTCCTCATAGAGATTCATTGATTCAATTCATGAGAAGATACTGATTGGCCATGGCTGTGTCTGAACCATGCTGGCTCTGCCCCTGATCTGCCTCCTTGTCAGTCTCAGCCAATCCTATGGGGAAGCATTGTGATTGGATCAGGCTACCACTTCTGATGATGTCAGCAGACTGCTTGATTTTTTTTTTTTAGGCAAACAGCATGCAGATCTACAACTTCTGGCTTGAATACAGTAAGATTTTGCTATATTTATAGAGGGGCCCAGGGGTGCTAGATGGTGGTTTTGACACTATAGGGTCAGGAATACATGTTTGTGTACCTGACCCTATAGTGATCCTTTAACCTATTTTAGTTGTAAATGATAGGTTTGATTCCTTCCCATAAAGCCAAGGCTTTTCTGGTTAACATGTAGTAACTAATACATATTAAAATGGTGCTCAATCAGAAAGAAAAGACCTGGAAAATGTTGAAATATATAGCAAGCCTCTATAACCTTTTGGTTTATTTCTGCTGCATATTCCAGCCGTGACTCCTACCTCAGTAATAGTAGTAACAGGTTTAGTTGGGGATTACACTCCAAACAGACAGTTCTGACCAGCCATGGCTGAGAGTTAGTCCGAGAGAGAGTTCCACGCGGCTTTCCTGAGGTATCCCTGATTTCCTGGGGCATTTATCCGTCAGGTAGCTCGTATTCAGAGCATTCATACTGAAGGTGTCTGGAAAAAGGGACTAGGAGGAATAAATAAACAAAGTATTTACAAAACAAAATAAAAAATAAACGGGTGCCTAAAAATAAAAAAAATCTGATTTAATGTATAACTCCCAATACCCAAAGAATTTGAAGTATGAGGAAAAGCATATAAAAAGATGGTCGGTAGGTGCAAGTACATGCCTGTGAAGAAACTCCCCTGTTTTGTTTGTTAAATTAGATTTTTCTTGTTCGGTAGATAAAACTACCGAACACCAAACACCCCCCCCCCGGCTCATTAACTACAAAGGAAACTGCAGATTAAATGTTCTCCCTGTGTGTCCACCATCTGTAAGGCCAAACGCCACGTGTTGGAGAAATTGGCGGGCATCTTGTTTGCATGAAAAGAGGCAGCAGGACTTGGTCGTCGGGTGTCTGGAACTAAAATCGGACACTCGACTTCCCGAACGCCAGCTTCTTTTCACCTGCTTAATTCTTTTTTTCTTTTCAATTTAATTTTTCTTTTCAATTTTCTTTGCCATGAGGTGCCATGTTGAACCTCCAGTGACCAGTATGAGAGTGTGAGAGCGATAACACCAAATTTAACACACCTGTCCCCATTCACACCTGAGACCTTGTAACACTAACAAGTCACATGACACTGGGGAGGGAAAATGGCCAATTGGGCCCAATTTGGACATTTCCATTTAGGGGTGTACTCACTTTTGTTGCCAATGGTTTAAACATTAAAGGACCACTATAGTGCCAGGAAAACATACTCCCCCTCCCGCCCGGCTCTGGAAAGGGGAAAGGGGTTTAAACTTACCTTTTTCCAGCGCTGGGCGGAGAGCTCTCCTCCTTCTCTCCTCCTCCGTTCCGCCCCGTCGGCTGAATGCGCACGCGCGGCAAGAGCTGCGCGCGCATTCAGCCGGTCGCATAGGAAAGCATTTACAATGCTTTCCTATGGCGTGCTCTCACTGCGAAAATCACAGTGAGAAGCGCAAGCGCTCTAGCGGCTCAATGAGACAGCAGACTTTGGGAAGCAACCCATTAATAAACATAGCAGTTTCTCAAACTGCTATTTTAAAAAATGGGTTAACCCTAGCTGGACCAGGCACCCAGACCACTTCATTAAGCTGAAGTGGTCTGGGTGCCTAGAGTGGTCCTTTAATGGCTGTGTGTTGAGTAATTTTGAGGGGACAGCAAATTTACACTGTTATACAGGCTGTATACCTACTACTTTACATTGTAGCAGAGTGTCATTTCTTCAGTGTTGCCACATGAAAGGATATAATAAAATATTTACAAAAATGTGAGGGGTGTACTCACTTTTGTGAGATACTGTATACCACACTCGTGTTTTTTTTCCATTTGTCCTGGTCAAAGTACTTGATAAAAACACTAACCCTGAGATATTTCACACCATATATGTAATGATCCATGAACATGAATTATTTGGTTGCTTAGATGCACTGTAGTTAAACTCTGTCAAATCCTCTGCACGTAGTCCAACAAAGCATTTAGAGCCTGGTGAGGAATTGGAATATTTACATGATTTCATGAACAGCCATCACTAATCCTTGTGTTCTGTGCCAGAATGCTTTGCAGTGACAATCCTTGCTACAACGCCTTCTAAAACCACTATTAACCTCTAGTCTACCACAGATTCATTACAAAGCATTGCTCTATGAAAGTGAAATGAATAAAAATAGAATGGAACTGCTTTTTTCAAAACACAGACATCATTTTAATTACAGATATACACGCTTGCTTGTAATTTGGACATGAGTAAAGGGAAGGCCGAATCCAACACTGGATGGGTGGGATACAAAACTAAAAGCTTTATTAAGCTTTTTTTTTTATGCATTGTGGCTCTGTGGTTCTTCTCTAGCCTTTAAAGTGTGTTTCTTGAACTGTCATTTTACGTTTTAGAGGTTCTACTGAAGGGATTTGTAATTGCTTATACTTACAACAAGCAATGCTGAACTATGTCCCTTTACTTTAAATAAAGTTGTTATGGTGCACTCTTACCTCAAGGGGTTAAACCATTCTCAAATGGTTTAACCCCAAAATGCCTCCAGGGATTGTGTCCACTTTCCCTAGGCAGCATTCGGCTTTAGCAATTTTAGATTTAGGAATCACAGAGTGGCCCTGGATGCAATATTGGGGTTAAACCATTTGAGAATGGTTTAACCCCAATAACAACTTAATTTAATCTGAATACGGAGAACAAGCAAAAATTAGCTTGCACTTCAGTAAGTACCAACCAGGGGCGTAACTCGAAACCACAGGGGCCCCGGTGCGAAAATAGCCCTGGGCTCCCCCCATATGTCTACTCCCCGCCACCCACATATGTTAACCCACACACACATATACAGAGACACACACAGACAGATACACACACAGACAGAGAAACATTCATACAGACACCCATACACACACATATACAAAAATGTTAGTCACCATTCTGTTTCCTACCTTTTAGATGCAGGAGGGTGACTTCCATGGGGTCCAGTGGTGGCTCACGCTGATGGGAGTCATCGTTCCCACTCTGACTCCCTCCTCTTCTTCCTCCTGCGCGGCTCCTGGTGTAAGCTGGGAGGAGTGACCGGGGCAGTCACTTCCTTCCAGCTCTGATGTCATCACAGGGGGCCCGCTGACCAGACCCCCTGGAAATTCTTAGCCAAAGGGTGGCCCTAACAGCATGGGCCACCTGATGGGCCCCTTCAATGTGGCCCTGGCGGTTATGCCGCGTTACTTAGCCGGCTGACACCGCCGCAGGTCCCAAATCTTGTCTTATATAAGTCACTATCGGGATATTAGCTACAGTTCTATTATAACATTACAAGGCCCAGTCAAGGGCAAAACAATAATTTGGGGCTGCTGTATTTCTCACGCAGGGAACCTTTCATTTTGGTTCCTGACTCTCCTTGTCAATTGAGGCATATGTCATATGTAAATGATAAAGTTTCCCTAGACAAAAGCATAAAACCAGACTTATAATATATTCCAAATACATCATATAGTATATATACAATTTACTAAAGTGAGAATTGTCTAACATTTTAAATTAAATTTCAAATGTAAGGCAAAAATATCTGAACTGGAAACATATATTTAGACTTTTCATTTGAAATTCACTACGAATCCAACTTGAAATCCCAAAAATGCTCTCTTTAGTGAATAACACTGTATATGTCAAGAAGAAAAAAAAGAAGGACAAAAACAAATAAAACCTAAATAAATGACTAGGAAACCATTAGAACAAAGCATTAGAAAGAAGCATTAGAAAAGTGCAATATTGTAAATGGATGAAACCATAATCATATAAAAACATAAACAAGAAATCCACAGTCAAAATCCAATAAATAATCGCAAAATGTCCACATGGAAAAAGATGTGTCAATAGACAAATAATAAAGTCAATATTCTATTTTTCACACAATTAAGTTCACTTAATTCCCTACATCCATTTTCATCAATTGTAGATATATGCAATACCCTTGGCATACATTTATATTTTATATATTATGACTTAATTCAAAACTTTAAGTCACTGACATTAAATGCTAAAGGTGCTAGATCCAGGGAGTAACTCTACTACGATTAAAGGGGCATTGCTCTCCCCCCTCCCCCCCCCCGCCACCCCTTTCCTTTCATATATCCTTTTGTTATGTCCCTGTATCTTAATGATCCTGCTCCCTTGTCACTTGCCTTTATTTATTTCCTTACACTGGATCCCTTATATCTGGGCATATCTGATTGTCCATGATATCTGCAGTTTGCCTTTCTGTTAGATTCTTTTGACTGATGGATTGTGAGTAAATTAGTTTTGCAACTAAAATGTAACTTCACTTAAAGTAGAATTGTCATCTCAAAACTAATTTTAATATAATAATATTTTATCAAGCATTGAAAGGAAATAGATTTTTAAATTAATTATATGCAAAAACAAAATGAGAAAACTTATCTCTACCTATATGACAGGATCCTTCAGTACACCTTTGGTGAGACAGACAGTTAGTCTCTATGGTCTATGGTCATTCATAGAAACCTAGCTACCCTGCTATGTATTTGACTCTTGTCCTCTTTCTTGTCCCCCCAAAAAAGCCAAGCATACAGTTATTAATAGCTACTTCTGTCACTAAGCCTCCCCCAGAGGCCACAAGAGACATTTTGTTGCAGCAGGACTCTAACAGGGCTTTGCTTTTGGGAACTACCCATGCCAGTCTTTTGAAGGAACTCAGTTTACCTTTTATAGGGCCCTCTCAAGACACACTATTCTCTGAGGGGAATTGTTTGGCCAAATCACTAAAATTAGGAGATAAAGGAGATAAAGATATCCTATTGACTAATGCCAGACAAAAGGGTCAAGATGCATGCTCTAATCAACTCTGATGGTGGCTCTACCACTCCACAGACAAAGTTCATGGACTGTCAACTATCACTCTGTTTGTCCTGGGAAATGTTTCTGGGCTTAACATGAAAGGCAAACACCAGAATGGTGTAAAAACCACACAATTAAGACTAGCCAACAGGGACGTACCTAGAGCATTTGGCACCCGGGGCGGATCCTGTGCTTGGCACCCTCCAAAAAAATCTGTAAAAAATGTTAAAGGTTTTCTTTCTTTTTTTTTTTTTTTTATACAATTTGTAAAACCGCTGTCAGCACCTCATACAAAACCCTTGTCCTGCCCCGCCCCTCCTACAAAACCTCTGTCCCGCCCCTTCTACAAATCCTGTACTGCCCCGTCTACAAAACCCCCACAACCCCCTACCACAAATCCCCTGCTTATCCCCCTTATAAAGACTCCTGACCCAATACAAAACACCCGCCCCCTTCTACAAAATCCCTGCAGCCCCACACACACATTTACAGACAGACAGTCACATACTCAGTTACAGGCAGACAGTCACACACAGTTACAGGCAGACAGTCACACGCACACACACAGTTACAGGCAGACAGTTACACACAGACAGACTCACACACACACATACACACACAGACACACACTCTTACTTACAGACAGTGGGATGGAGGAGGACTGGATTCCCTGAAGCCCTTCTCTGAAGCCTGTGGAGAAGCAGAGATTCCATCTTGCTGCACCTCCTAACAGCAGTGGGTAAAGGCCATATTAAGCCCCGCCCCTAGTACCAGTTTTGCTCCGCCCCAATTTTGCTTAGCTCCGCCCACTTTTCCTCCGTGCGGCCAGTTTATCAGCTGTTTGCTTGTAATAATGCCGCACAGCACCCTAACTACCATGGGGCACGGTGCGGCCACAGCTCACACAGCCCCCTCCACCCAGGGCCGGTGCAAGGATTTTTGCCGCCCTAGGCAAAAGTAAAGTTTGCCGCCCCCCCATGTGACATCACAATGCCCCACCCATATGATTTGCCATGTTAACTAACACCAGTGCTGCAGTGCCGCCGCAGGGACAGGCTATAGACACCAGAACCACTACATTAAGCTGTAGTGGTTCTGGGGACTATAGTGTTTCTTTAATGTGAGGTAAATTAGAGCTTAGTGCCACGAATAATATACTAGATTGCCTACTTACAACCAGATGAGGATGATGATGGGCTCCAGCTGCAGTCTGGCTCCACTGGTCTGGTGTAGATCAGGATCTCTGGAGGCGGTTTGTAACTGTGGTCACAAAATGCAATGTTCTGGGAGAACGGGAAGCAGCTCCATTTTTTGGGGGCCCTTTACACAGCTCAAGGTCTGGGTCCCAGGGTCCACCTTCATGTTCCACCAATGAGTTCGTTCACAGGGGGTGGAGTGTGTAGGGGATGTCCTGATATGTGTGTAAGGAATGCATTGTATGACATTGTGTTTGTATGTGTAAGGGCTGCAAGGTGTGTTTCTGTGTATGTACGGGATGCATTGAATGTGTGTAAGGGGTGCATTGAGTGTGTGTAATGAATGCATTGTGTGTTTCTGTGTGTGTAAGGGATGCATTGTGTGTAACGGTTGCATTGCTTGTGTATGTGTGTCTGTGTGTGTAATGCATTGTGTGTTTCTCTGTGTGCAAGGGGTGCATTGTGTGTATGTGTGTGTGATGAATGTCAATGTCGTCCCCTCCTCCCAATCTTTCTTTCTCCCCCCCTCCTCCCAATCTTTATTTCCCCCCCCCCTAATCTTTCTTTCTTCCCCCCTCCTCCTAATCTTTCTTTCTTCCCCCCTCCTCCTAATCTTTCTTTCTCCCCCCTCCTCCTAATCTTTCTTTCTTTCTTCCCCCTCCTAATCTTTCTTTCTCCCCCCCCTCTAATCTTTCTTTCTTTCTTTCCCCCCTCTAATCTTTCTTTCTTTCTTTTCTTCCCCCCTCCTCCTAATCTTTCTTTCTTTCTTTCCCCACCTCCTCTAATTTCTTTCTTCCCCCACCTCCTCCTTTTCTTTCTCCCCCCACCTCTTCCTAATTTCTTTCTTTCCCCCTTCTCCTCCTAATTTCTTTCTCCTCAATTTCTTTCTCCCCCCCACCTCCTCCTAATTTCTTTCTCCCCTCCCCCCCACCAATGTTGTAACGTGGCCGAGCGCTCTATGGTCCGCGGGTACAGGGAGCTTTTGTTTCCTGTACTCGGCTGGACTAAAAGGAAATGCACACTGACTCAGTGTGCACTTCCTGTTAGTCCGGCCGGGTACAGGAGACAGATGCTCCCTGTACCCGCGGACCAATAGAGGGCTCGGCCACACTACAACAGAGGGAGTGACAGGAGGGAGCGCTGAGTGCTTCCCTCCTGTCAGCCCCTCTCCTCATGCTGCACCTGGGTGGTGCGCCCTCATGGACGCACCGCCTGGGCAAAGTTGCAGCTGCCTGAGGCTCTCTACAGAGTGCTCGGGCGGCTGCAGCATGGGGGGGCGGCGCTCCTGGTCATGGCACCCCCCACCTTGGTGGCACCCGGGGCGGACCGCCCCCTCTGCCCCCCCCTTAGTACGCCACTGCTATCCAAAGTAAAAGAATCAGGTAGTCAGTGTGACAAACGCTCCTTCCCACGTATATTTGCCACGGATTCCTGGAGGAGTGTAGAAGTCGGCCTCCTGCCCACCGACTATGATCCAGGTCTGGCACACTGTTTGGGAGTTACCCTGCCCAGACGCCACTAGCAGCTTTCTCTGGGTGCCCCTGGTTCGGCACTTTCCCTTCATGCGACTAGAACCGAACACTTGTCACATAATTACCGTGACTCCGCTCCCCCGAAGTTACTTCCGCGTTCAGAAGTAAGCTCCTCCCATTCCAATGACGCTCCACTCACATGCCTTATAGGTAAGCCACACCAAACTCAAATTGCTGAGTTATTTTGATCTGACCGTGGACTCCACGCTGAGCTACCTCTTTCGCTTCTACCAGCCCTCGTTCACCTCATTCTCTTCAGCATCTGTTACACCAGCAAGGACTCCTGTTTCAATGAACCAAACCAGGATCATTCTACTTCTTGCTGATCCCTTCCAATTCTACTGCAGTTACAGGAAGCTCAAGAGAAACCTTAAGTATCACTTCTATCTAATCTAAATATTGCTGCAACCTGCATATAAGGATAATCAACTTCTATGTGCTACTTATCAAGTTTAATTACAGCTGCAACCTGCATATAAGGATAATCAACTTTTATGTGCCACTTATCAAGTTTAATTACAGCTGCAACCTGCATATAAGGATAATCAAATTCTATGTGTCACTTGACATGAGCACAGTCGCCTTGTCGGCCTCTGCTTAAAAACCCCCCACCAAATCCCCAATCCCCAATAAAGCAGACACCATGGTTTTGGCAAAATTATATCACAGCTTTATTTGTAATTAACATAAATTTAAAGGTCATTGTCAACAGCAGGCCAATGTTGGCCTGCACAATTAACATCCTGCATTTACAATTAACCCCTTGACAATGACCCACCCCCACATAACATAACACCAAACATTGAACATTTTATTTAACATGAACATGACCATTGCCACCAAAGGGCACCATCCATTGCCACCAAAGGGCACCACATGTGTAGGGGCATACCGAGACACCCCATACACACCCCGGTTCGGAGCTACCTACGAGCTCGAACCTACCAAACCAGTCCAAAGGCCTACCTATTAGCCCTGAACACCAAAGTTTTTCCCCATCTCACTCTTTTCTCCCCCCAACTTTACTCTTCATCCCCCGCCACAGCTCAGAGCTCAACTCCTCAAGCTCCTGAGCGACACCCCCCAGGGAAAAAATCGCTCTCTGGAGGCCCTCCTGGAAACCCAGCAACAAAAAGTCCAAACCTACATCGGACAGATGGACCCCATCACTCCTATAATAACCTGTGCCTGATCACAACCCCCCCCGACCGCCTCACGTACGCTGCCATCACCTTGTTAACCTTACCCTTCATCTTCGCCACCGCGGAGGGATTCCGCACGTGCCGCCAGTACAACCTCGGAACCATTTCCGACCATACTACCATAACCCCTGGCACTAACTCCCTTAACCTGTCCACATCCCTCTTCATACACTCGAGCAGGACCGTTTGAGGTAACAACCCCACATCATTACCCCCTGTGTAAAGCATCACTATGTCCGGAACCTGTCCCAAAAGAATTTTGTGAAACATTTCCTCACATATAACATAACCCCAACCCCAGTAACCAAACCACCTAAGCTGCACCACAGAACTTGGAAAGCCCAGCTGTAGACCATGACGTCGAACTGCAGCTCTCCGTTGCGCCCAGTGTATGTATGAGTGGCCGACCACCCATGCCATCCGAACTTCGATAGCGAAGAGCCGTCCTCATGCTTGAAATATGAACCCCCGGCCATTGCCCGCACCTCCCGGAAGGCCGTTGCGCACTTAACCGGGCAAGTTCTCCCATCCGGGAGCTCCCACAACGTAACCAACGTTCCTTTCCCCATTACATCCGTTTTGGACCGCCTCAGGTTAATCACTACCTTGTTGCTCCACACTTCCACGTCCATCGCCTGAAGTCCCCCGGACCCTTGGCGATTGCTGCTAACTAGCTCGCTAACCCGAAATGCCCCAAAAAAGGCAAAACTAATAACCACGGAAAACAACGTCACTTCGTATCCTGAAAAACACACCGCGGGCAGCACTTGGACCACCCGCTGCAGCAATTCGAACTGACACTTTACCCCTCCTGAAACCTTTCAGTGCCTGTCTAACCAGAAAATGTTTGGTAGCATCCTCCCACCTGTTAAATTTGAACAAGAATGCTAGCGCTGCCAGCTTATGCCCCACCAAAGCTGCTGAAACCCCTGTGGTAACTGACCTACACAAGAGCCACAGCAGCGCATCCAACTGAGCCTCCTTTGAGAGCTGACCCCCTGTCTGCTGCACCAGTTCGTCCCATTCCCCCCACACCTTACTGTACACCGCCCAGGTAGCGGCGTACAGGGAATCCCTAATCAGTCCACCAAGCATGATGTCCCGAGCCGCCACATCTCGTCCGGACAAGACATCCCTTCCTCCTGTGCGCCAGGTGCCACCTGCCGAAATCTCTCCCACTGTGAACGAGACAACGCATCAGCAATGACATTCAACAGTCCCGGCACGTGGCGCGCCCGAAACACAATGTTAAACCTCATACAGAACAAGACAAAACGGCGAAGGAGCCACACCACCGGGATAGAGGACGCTGATAGCCCTGTTCACTGCATCTACCACTGCCATATTGTCCGAAAAGAATACCACCTTCTTATCCCTCAACTGTGGACCCCATAGTGACAACGGGAACAATTCCAGGAACGCCAAGTTGCAGTGGGCTGGCATTCCAGGCCCCTGGCCAAGTACCCGCGCACCATTGACCCGAAAAGTAAGCCCCAAACCCGACACTCCCCGACGCGTCCGTGAACAGCTCCAACTCCTGAGAAGACGCCGCCGGCTCCCGAAAGAACACTTTCCCGTTAAAATCCTGCAAGAATTCCCCCCAGATGTCCAAGTCAGCCTTCATGGCTGCGGAGGCCTGGTCTTCCTGACCGGCCTCTGACCCTGGGAACCTCCAGATCCGGATGGCAGAGCATCACCCAGGCGATCCCTGAGCCACTCGATCCCCCTCTCCTACACAGCAGCCCGGACTCCTTCCAGCCAATCTTCCATCTTGCTGACCTGCAGAGGAAACAAAGAAAAAAAAGCCACACAAATCCTGCCACAACAAACAGGTAAGTGTAACTTAGATTAAAGTGATCCTTGGTTCTAAAATGGCCACTACTTATACTCCCCTTGAAAACTCCACCCCATAATTTCCAATGACCAATCCCTGACCACTGACCTTTAGATGGCCTGTCTCCTGGCAATGTCAAGGCCCACTCCCCTTAGCTATGCTGCTCCATGGGCTACATATCAAGTTTAATTACTGCTGCAACTTGAATAAAAGGATAATCAAATTCTATGTGCACTTATAAAGTTTAATTACTGCTGCTACTTGCTTATAATGATAATCAATTCCTATGTACCATTTATCAAGTTTAAATATTGCTACAACTTGCATATAAGGATAATCAATTTCTATGTGCCACTTATCAAGTTTAACAAATTGCTACAACTTGCATGTAAGGATAATCCATTACCATGTGCCACTCATCAACACTAATTATATTTGAATTCTAAATCCTTATTTATATAAGTGAGGACTATTTTCTGTTTAACACTATTAAATCATAACAACACCGAACAATGGTTTGGAATTTCAAATGGTACGCGCCAGGGTTCTCCTTTATCACCATTATTGTATATTTTATCGACCGAAACCCTTGGCAGTAGATTTAAGATCTAAACAGGACATAAAAGGGTTTGGAGAAAATAATAACCAAAAAATCAAGCTATATGCCGATGATGTACTGATAAATATCCAGAAACCCGTGTATTCCATCGACCATGTGGTAGAAATTATTCAAAATTCAAAATCCAGTCAAGTAGCCTATTGCACCAAGACGAGAGTAAAAAAAGCTTTCCCATGTGATTGAAAGGGGGTGGGGGGGGCAATCACCTAAACAGACACACTCACAGACAGGCACACACACTTGCTGATTTGACACACACTAACAAACACTCACTCACTGACAGGCACACACACACACACATACATACTCGCACACACACACACACACACACATATAATTATACACACACACACACATACTTATATACAAACACACAAACTTTTAAAGCCAGTAGATAGGGGCTGAATAAGGGGACAGGGCTGTAGTAGGGGGCTATGAGCTGTAATTAGGGGGTTAGGAAATGTAGTGGGGGATAGGGGTTGAAGTCGGTTGATGAGTCTTACCTTGGGCCAGGGAGGGGTGGGCAGGAGGAGCAGCAGTCCTGGGATAAGAGCAGTGAAAGTAACACCCCCTCCTCCTGATATCATCAAGAGAGGCCGGCCGACTCCACTGGCTGCAGGGAGAGTAAGGTAAATTGAAAAATCAGAGTCTCCAGCCAGAGGCAGTGTATTCAGATATTTCCTTTTTTTGTTGGATACGGATGGCCCTTGGGGGCAATTGCCCCCTATCCCAGGCCGCCCTTAATCCACACTACAGTATAATTGCAAGACTGAAGGATAGGAGCGGTTATTATCCTTAGGCAGTGGCGTACTAAGGGAGGGGCGGGGGGGGCGGTCCGCCCCGGGTGCCAGCCGGGTGGAGGGTGCCATGGCCAGCCCCGCCGGCCCCCCCATGCTGCAGCCACCCGAGCGCTCTGCAGAGAGCCTCAGGCAGCTGCAGCTTTGCCCGGGCGGTGCGTCCATGAGGGCGGACCGCACCACCCGGGCGCAACCTGAGGAGAGGGGCTGACAGGAGGGAAGCGCTCAGCGCTCCCTCCTGTCACTCCCTCCCTGTAGCGTGGCCGAGCCCTGTATAGTCGGCGGGTACAGGGAGCATTTGTCTCCTGTACCCGGCCAGACTAACAGGAAGTGCATACAGTGTGTGCACTTCCTGTTAGTCAGGCCGGGTACAGGAAACAAAAGCTACCTGTACCCGCCGACTATACAGGGCTCGGCCACGCTACAACAAAGGTAGGGGGGAGTGGGGGATGAGAAAGAGAAAGGAGGGGGGGATGAGGAGAAAGGAGGGGGGGATGAGAAAAGGAGGGGGGGATGGAGAGAAAAGGAGGGGTGGGGATGAGAGAAAGGAGGGGGGATGAGGAGAAAGTGATGGGGGGGATGAGAGAAAGGAGGGAGGGGGGTGAGAAAGAGGAGAAAGGGGGAGGAGAAAGTGAGGTGTATACACTATGGGGGTGTATTAATTATATGTAATTAACAGTGTAGGTGTATATTAATTATGGGTGGTGTATATTAATTATAGGGGCAATTACCTTAGGAGTATTAATTATGGGGGTGGTGTATACAATTATAGGGGTGAATTAATTATGGGTGGATTAATTATGTAAAAGTACACTATGGGGGGTGGATTAATTATGGGGTGGATTAATTATGGGGAATTTACCTATGGTAGTGGATTAAATTTAAGGGGTGTATTAATTATGGGGGTGTATTAATTATGGGGGTGTATTAATTATGGGGGGTGGATTCATTAGTGTGGATTAATTATGGGGGGTGGATTAATTATGGGGGAGTGGATTAATTAAGGGGGTGGATTAATTAGTGTGGATTAATTAAGGGTGTGTGTATCAATTAAAGGGGGTGGATTAGTTAAGGGTGTGTGGATGAATTAGTGTGGATTAATTAAGGGGTATGGATTAATTAAAGAAAACCTTTAACATTTTTTACAGGTTTTTTTTTTTTTTGGGGGGGGGGTGGAGAGGGGGGTGCCAAGCACAGGATCTGCCCCGGGTGCCAAATGCTCTAGGTACGCCCCTGTCCTTAGGCCAGGTGTTCCCAACTCTGTTATCAAGTATCCTACCAGTCCAGGATTTAGGGATTACTCTGTTGTGTCTAAAGTGTTTTTTTTTTTGAAACGCCTTAGACACAATTTGGTAATCCCTAATCCTGGACTGGTAGGGGGTACTTGAGGACTGGGTTGGGAACCACTGCCATAGGCCATCACAGTCATTTAGCTATAACTGAGCCAGTAGGATAATGAGTTTATCATACATAAGGTAATCCACAGAACTGATGTTAAAATGCTGGGCAAACACAAAGAGTGACAGTGATTGCTTTCCAGACTCCTTAAAGCTGCCATATAAAGCCTTCCCTTTTTACCATTGGTAAGTCAGATAATCCCCTAAATATTGAATATTTATATGGTGCAAAAATAAAAAGCTTTTGTACAAAGACAAAACATGAACAAATGACAATTTTCAGTTCTTTACAACCTATAAAGTGTTTTGAAACTTACTGTGCATAATGAATTGTAACAGTGCATTGTACGTTTTTTATGTTTAAAAAAATACTATTATCATTAGGAGGTTTGTTCAATAAAATTTGAATTGTACTCTTAATAGTTGATAACATGAGAATTATGCTGACTGTTATTTAAATCAATTATTTAGGTAAATGAGAAAAATATAATTTGCATAATAATTTGGAACAGGGTGTAGATATGACATTGTGTTACAATAAGTTGCTGTATGTTGTCTGCTATGATTTAACTGTTTGTATTTATATTGAGCTGTCACACCAATCTTTATGTCATAATCATATGGGCTAGTCCAGAGAAAAATAAAGTTTTGGAACTAGTGTTCTGTGTGGATTTGTAGGGATCATAGTGGCAGAGTCTTTGGACCTGTTTGCTGGTTGCAGGATCTCTCTAGCACTTGGATAAATTGAAAGAGCTAGGCCTGAGAGCAGAGCTGCTGCGGAATAGGCAGAGGGGTCGATACCTGCCTGGAAGAAGAGCTGCTGCCTGGTCAAGTGCAAAAGCTCCAGAAGGACCTAAGTCAAGCTGTGGCAACTGGGGCAGAAGCGTTCCAGGGTTCCAAGCGGCTAGGAAGCGGACTTGGCGGAGGTACCCAGCCGGGATACAGGGAGCTCCGTCACATCATCCCTATGCTGTTATTTCGATTTGACATTCTAACCAGTCCTATGATGGGGTTAAAGAATCAAATGCTTTAGTGGTTCCTCCAGATAGCATGGTCAGGGATTCTGACCACAAATCGGGATTGTTATACACAGCACTTCAAAGTACACATAAATAGCACAGGAAGTGTTTTTTTTTATTATTTGGTTAGCATGCTTCATGCTGACCTGTCACTGTATCCACACAAAAAATACGAGAAGGAAGATGAACATGGGTCAGGAAGTGGATACCTGCTGAGGGCCATGGGGGAAAAATAGGAAGTCTGTTAGATAGTTCTATATTAATCAGACACACTTTGTTATCATATGTGAATTATTTATTTTTCAAAATCTTTAAATGGATACATAACCTTTAGATATATACATAGCTTATACTTACAAATGTCTACTGCAAATATGGCTGTAAAAAATAAATTATTATTTATATATATTTATTTATTTATTTATTCATAGATATACACGAACAAACATTTCAATAGAGTAAACATGAAATATGTAACCAGATACAACGTAAATAAGACTCTTAGATATTAAAAGGACACTTTAAGCAATATAACCACCACATCTGAGAGTCTTAAGATTCTCTGTGTGCTGCCCCTTCTATGTCAAACTGTTTGGGAGCAATTTGCAAAAAACAGCAGCTTTCCCTGGCACCAAGAAAAGGTCCCTTTTTCAGCCAGCTTAATAAGATAGAATTAACACGCCACAAGAGTCATCAACCTTTAGCAAAAAAATAAAAGGATTTAGTTTAATATGGCTGTATTGTGTTAAAGGGGCACTATAGTCACCAAAACTATTTTAGTTTAATGAAGCAATTTTAGTGTAAAGATCAAACCCCCACAGTCCCACTGCTCAATTCTCTGCCATTTAGGGGTTAAATCACATTGTTTATGCAGCCCTAGTCACACCTGTAACTTCCACAATATTCTTAAACACTTCCTGTAATGAGTCATCTAACGTTTGCACTTTCTTTATTGCAAATTCGGTTTAAGTTAAAATTTCTTCTTGCTCTGTTAATAGCTTGCTAGTCCCTGGAGGAGTCCCTGTATGAAAATGAAAACATTTTGTTTCCATGAAGGTTGTGTCAGTCACAGCCAGGGAAGACGCGGTTAGGGCTGCATAAACAGAAGCAAAAGGGATTTAACTTCTAAATAGCAATGAATTGTGCAGTGAAACTTCAGATTCATGATCTATACACTAAGACTGCTTCAGTAGGAAAAGGTTGTTTTGGTGATTATAGTGTCCCTTTAACCATCTCCCCAACTGACCTAGAGAACTGCACTCCAATGAACAGAAACTAAGTATCATGGGCCAGTGCTACAAACTTTGGCCTCAAATTATTTTGCTAGAATCAACATTACAAATGATCACAATCTGTTCGGGAAAAAATAAATCACATGATTCGTCTACAAAGATTCCACAGACTTTAATGATGACTTCTGTAGATACATCATTCTAAAAGGTTTTTGTTTTTTTCATAGATTATGATCATTTGAAACGGTGATCCAAAGATTAAATGAAAGCCTTTGTGGTTGGTCTTACTTTGACTATTTTCAATTCCAAATTTAGTGAAATAGTTACATTAGCTAAAATTCCAGCATAAAAAAAAATAAATTAAAAAAAAACCTTGCAAATAGAGTTTTGACAGAATCCCCTGCATTGATTAACTGAATTATAGACTGCCTACAGTTTGCCAAATTCTGTTGATAGAACGTGGTAAATAGTAGATAGGCTACACGGTTAGCCCTAATACAGTCCTTCCTGTACTCTGAATTCTGCTCAGACACCAAACATTCTTTAGTACATTAATGTACGTAAAAGTTTCCTACAGCAACTTTCTCCCAAACTCAGCATTTTTCTTTCCATCAGATGACTGCAAATTCTGACAAATAGTGCTATATTATGTGCAGCTCTACCCTTAACCCCTTCACTTCAAATAGTCTGCGACACATCACTTTTGGATTAAACAAATAACAGGCAGATGGTTCAAAGCACCTCAAATTATAGACAGCATTAAACTACACAGCTTCTATCCCAAACCGTCATGCATTCCTCAGATGCTATTTTTATCTACTTCAAACCCTGCGGTTTGAATGCAGATGAGTAGGGGAAAAAAACGGCTCCATTTGCAAGTCCATATTTTATTTTAACTTTGTTCTTCTACAATGGTGTTTTAACCTCACTTGCAAGACCGTGGCTTAATGATATAAAGACCGTTATATTGTACAGCGCTGCAGAATTTGTTGGCGCTATATAAATAATAATATAATACTAAATTTTTTTTTAAAATACTACACTACAGTCCCTCTGTATTTGGAAATTGCATTATTTAGTATACATGTACGGGATAGCTTTCTGCACATTGAATCATCGCATTGTACGGTCTTGGACAAATCCCGGAATAGATGGCAAAAAAAAAGATACATTCTAATTCCGTACTGTAATGTAGGGATGTCAGATGTCCCTTTTAACCGGGGACACTTTGAAACATGAAAGATAGGTTCTTTGAGGTCTATAAATGTCTGTTCCAACTTTTGGTAGGCAGTTAGTAAGAAGAGATTTTCAAGATACCAGATAAGACCTTGATAAATCTTTTGGTTGATTTCATACAGATTACCTACCGATAGCCATCTGTGTTATCAGATTAAGTTATGTACAACAAGACCAATACATTTTTGTTTAAACAAACAACATTTACTTTGGTTTATATGCATTTTTCTGTAAGATGTAGTTCTGTGGAGTTCAGAGATGCAATCATTACTGCCTCACTTTATTACAGTCAAACACATCAAAAATTGTTCTGAGGTTTATTGCATACAAGTTGCAAATAATTGTGAATTTCATTTTTCATGGCCATGGATTTTGTATTAAATCTGTACACATTTAAGGGTTTATTCACCAAAGTATGAATTGTCAAGTGTTCAAAGTAAATTTTAATGAGATTGTGTCCCATTAAGTATTCAACTTTAAAAAAGTGTGTCTATGAAACTTTCATATTATTATCAATTATATAGCGCCAACAAATTCCACAGCTCTGCACAATGGGTGGACAAACAAACACGTAATTGTAACCAGACGAGTTGGACGTACAGGAACAGAGGGGTTGAGGGTTTTGCTCAATGAGCTTACATGCTAAAGGGAGTTGCGAAGACACAAAATATAAATTTGACATAACTCCATACATTCCAAATCCCTATGCAGATTTAAATAAATTGAAGTTTTTAGTTCCACTCCAATGGCCATTAGGTGTAAGCCCACCTGCCACGTCAAGGCAAACCTCTTAGGTGGGTCCTACACTAACAATTCACCTTGCTTCCTTCAACTTCAGGCAAAAAATTATCTATTAGGAGACAGAGAGGGGTATTTTTTTAAACCCCCACATACTCAGGAACGTATTAGCCACGAGGCAAACAAGGCATTTGCCTTGGGCGGCATTTTCCAGGGGGCGGCAAAAAAAGCCGCCCCCAAATGCCCAGGGCAAATGTCTTGTTAGCCTCACGGCTAACTGACAAGCCGGGCGTGCTGGGCGGTGCTGGCAAGGGAGCACTTTCCTCTGAGCTCTCTGCTCAGCTCCCTCCCTCATGACGTCATATTCCGGCCCCCGGCCTCACTCTGCGGCGCGCGAGGGAGCTGAGCAGAGAGCTCAGAGGAAAGTGCTCCCTCACCAGCGCCGCCCAGCCAGCCCGCCCAGCAGCCAGCCCGCTCCGCCCACTCAGCAGTCACTGGACCCCCAGAGAAAGGAAGAACCCCCCCCAGGTAAGGAGGCTGGGGGGGTTGAATTTAAAAAAACAAAACAAAAGTAAGTGTTAACGTGAGTGAGTGTGTGTGTGTTAGTGTGTGTGTGTCTGTTAGTGTGTGTGTGTGTGTCTGTTACTGTGTGTGTGTCTGTGTTAGTGTATGTGTGTGTCTGTGTTAGTGTGTGTCTGTTAGTGAGTGAGTATGTGTCTGTTAGTGTGTGTGTGTTAGTGAGTGAGTGTGTGTCTGTTAGTGTGTGTGTGTGTCTGTTAGTGTGTGTATGTGTGTCTGTGTTAGTGTGTGTGTGTCTGTGTTAGTGTGTGTGTCTGTTAGTGTGGGTGAGTGTGTGTCTGTCAGGGAGTGTGTTACTATGTGTGTGTCTGTTAGTGAGAGTGTATGCATGTCTGTTATTGAATGTGTGTGTTTAAAAAATAAAACAAAAGTGAGTGTTAATGTGAGTGTGTGTGTGTGTCTGTTAGTGTGTGTGTGTGTGTCTGTGTTAGTGTATGTGTGTGTCTGAGTTAGTGTGTGTTTGTTAGTGAGTGAGTGTGTGTCTGTTAGTGTGTGTTAGTGAGTGTGTGTGTGTGTGTTAGTGAGTGAGTGTGTGTCTGTTAGTTTGTGTATGTGTGTCTGTGTTA